ACTCGAAAATATTGGGTAGTTCCTTTGTCTCGAAGAAGGAATGAATGTGTTTGTTCGCTGTCGTCCACAATGGGCTACAGAGCAATTTCTTGCTAGGTACGCACGGAGTAGTGCCCTCAGGGCCTCTGTGACTGCCTTTCGGCAGAGTTCTCATCTATGGAGGAAGCGTTAGCAGTACTGTAGAAGTTCTAATTGCTGCTTGGGTTTAATATGTGGGAAAGGACTTTATTGGGGGAACAGCGCAACGAGGCGCTTGCACTTCTTGGGTGGCAAGCAGTGTTCTGTGTTTGACGGATGTCAACCGTGTCCATGAAGCCGTTTAGCGCGGCTGTGTGTTGGCCGGAAATAAACAGTCAGACGGCGTGCAGTCCCCAGAAAATCGATAAGCTGACTCCCGCACACGTGTACGTATAGTGCAAGAAGCTCTGTGCTCCAGCAGCTGACCGTCTATTGGCTTTGCGCTCTGAGGCATAGAGCTACCGCTGTGGTGTGCGGAGCGCCCCTTTCCGTGTTATCTCCAGCGGTGAGCTGCTCTGCGAGTACGAAGGACTGGCTACCTTTAAATGTCATAAGTATTCATGCGCTGGCAGTAATATTCAGGTCTTCGTAGTACTGCGTAGCTGCAATGGTGCGAACGGCAGTACAGCACTTCCCAACTTCCTCTTGCTAAGATGCCCTACAAACTCCCACTTTGTCTACCATAAAAACAAAGTAATTCCGAGCTAATAAAAAGTAGCTGCTGACACAACAGGTGGGATTCACCGCCCGTTAGTGCCGCAGGAACAGCCGGACTCTTGTCTGGTTGCCCCCCCAGCAATGAGCACATTTAGCGAGACATCCAGTGGTGCATAACAAGCAGTGAAGCCCCTAGAACAACTATGCAAGCGCATTTAAACAAATCCGCAAATATCGGCGTCAGCAGACGCAACAGCTGAATGGCAACGCGAACTCGAAGTCTGTCGTGAAGGTCTACAGGGCTTGTCACCAGATGAACACGCGTGAAGTAAACGAGCAGTCTTTCTAGAAGTCTTCACTGTCAGCACCGTGAGAGCAATGATAGACAGGTGGAGAGGTGGGTCTAAACGACTTCTAGGTTTGCGCAATCGAATCCGCGGTCGCCAGCAACTCTGAGTGAAACGCCTCCTTCTGCTGCAAATGCCGAACAGTTGTTTGGGTCATCGTCAATGAGCAGCACCTGTTCCTTTGAGACGCCGAAGTGCTCAAGAACCTTCGCGCAAGCGCATGACTATTTCACGCATGCGTGCTTACAACAGCAGCATGCGCAGTCACTATTCACTGGTGCCGTGGGCCCCAAAATATCGATTTAAAAAATTGGGTAAGCCTGTTCAGCTGCACTTCTTGCTGAACAATGCACCCCACCCACCCACCAGCCTGAACGAAAGCAGCAACACATGACTAGCATCGAAGACCAACCTTGCTTATGTGAAATGACTTGCTAAAAGGCATAGGTTCCTTTAAACCCAAGACCTTGTAGTCAGCTGGCCACTGATAAAGCCTGAAAATACGAGGCGAATCACAAAAAACAGGCAGGGCGTAAGTTGTATCACAGCCAAGAGTCTTTCTTCACTTAGTAAAAGCCTCCAAAAATGAAGCACTAGTGCAAATGCTCTGCCTCCTCACTGACGCAAACCATGCGTTTTCGAAGTAGTCATTCCTCAGCCAAGAAGCTCACGGGGGATAAAAGGGAAACACCGCGTCTACTTTGAACGAGGCAGCGCTTCCTTCAAGCACACGTTGCACTAGCGGCTCGCCTGCAATGCGGTCTGGACGTGATGCGATAGCCCTTGGATCTGCACGCATTATCCACCTAAACAGCGTCAGCGTGTGCTTTAATAGCACCGCGAGGACTTGCAGCAGCTGCTACAAGTAACAAGCATGAGCTCCACTTCAGTCTACAGAAATTCACCTCCAAAGGTCACCACGGCAATAGGAATCCCGCGAGAAGTGGCCGCCGACGCGAACGCATCAAAGTCAGGAGAGAGGGACGTAAATATTGGGTTATCTGGCACATTCGAAGCGCTGCCACCTGGTAAGAAGAACGCACCAAAGGCGTCAGGCTTTCTCCAACACTCCCCAACAGCCACAGTCCGCTCCACAGGTATGCAAGTATTAGCTAGCTTACACCTAGACACATGCAGTGATCGGCTAGACTGCCGGTGAAAACCCGCATAAAGAGTCATGGCTTAATGGAGATTTCCGCACTGTGTGCGCGGGTGCACTTGCCTGAATGCACAGTGATCATGGTTAGATCGAAGTCAACAGCAATGACACGAATGCCACCTGTTTTCACAGCGTCAGCAAGAGCTGTGCATGGTTCTTTTGCCGACAAGGCCTTGCAGAGAAGCTTCTTCAGTCGGAGCGCCGTGGTGCCTTTGCTGAAACTGCTTTCTGCTGCCGTGGATGGCAACGCCATTGAAGCAAATATAAGGAGTATCAGGAGCCAGCTAAAGGACCTTATCCAGTTTTCTGCGCGGAAGGCCTGCTTGCTGCTGCGTTCCAAAGATGCACGGCGCAGCTGGCCCGTATTTGCATCACCTGACCAGGTTAGGCAGGTCAGGCGATGACTCTGCGGGTTTTTCACGTTCGGTGAAAGCGTGTGGGGCGCGAACGGCAGACCTGGAGATGCGCTGGCGAGAGTCCACTTCTGCATTGAAACAATACCTGGCGTTGAGTTCCCCTCACGCATTTCGAGTATCCTCCTAGTACCTCACCACTATAGCGAACATATGAGCCAGTTTACACGCATAGCTCTCCGAGCCACGACGCCATCACCCACGCCAGCAATATTTCTAGAAAACTACTGGAGGAAAGGTTTGACGCCGTCTCATTGCAGTGAGGAAAACAGCACTAATTGGTGAAGGCGCGGACAACGCGAAACTTGCCGAGCTTGCGAAGGCATACGGCCTTGCTTGTCTCTTCTGTGATATAGTATGGGCACAATATTCCTCAGCAAATGGAGGTGTATGCTCTGGATACCTCTGCGTTCCCTGCAGAAGGATGTGCGAGCCTCGTCTGCATACAAGCCCTCAACGCTCTGGGTGAGATCGAGCAGCTGCGGCCCTAAAACGTCGCCTCCATTTTAGCAGTTGGCTAACCTCCTGCACGAATTACAGGCATCCGTTAATTTTTTACAGTTAATTAAATAAAACCTTGCGGAAACTAGTAAGGAACGGTGCTTTCCTCCGACCCACCAAGCGAAATCCTTTGCCTTTCGTCTCCGTTGGGACTTCGGCTGCACCAGATACCGGCACCCTGTACTTAGAGAGTTAAATTTCAAAAGGCATCTTCTTATATTCATGTCTCCATGTTACGCCAAACTATATTGTGAGGTGGGTTGCAGTGCACCACTAGCAAAGTTTGCTCTAATGGCATCATGCCGGTTCTAGAGATCTATGCGCCGGTGGCGGGGAGTCGTGCGCTGTATAATGTGTCAATGGGACTCTAAAATTACTCTTTATTCACTGTCTTCGTGAACCGGTCTGGGAAAAATGATGCAACAAGCTATTGGCTGTTTCTGAAGTGAACCAGGCGCATTTTGTATGCTGCGAAGGAGCCAATGCAAAATTCTACTGATGCGCTAACGAGCGTTCGGCGAAAGGGTCCATGCTCCTTAGGTTGCAAGGAAAATCTTCATACTGTGGGTTTCCGTTGCTTAACATGCATATATTTGATTGGCAAGTCCGAGTTATGTCCTACAACGGGCTGGTGCACGGCGGAAATACTGTTCGCAGGCGGGCCTGTGGGAGCAAAGATAGGAACGGACCGCTAGTCTTCAGGTGTTGCGGCACAACATCCGTTTCACACAGTAAAAGGGAACAAATGGCCTGTCAAAGGACCTCTTTACACATCCAGCGCAGCCGCGTCAGCCGTAGCGACCTAGCGTGCAACATCCGCTTGAGTTTCTGACGCTATATTGCATCCAAGGAAACTAGTGAACTATTGAGAACAGTTCTACACAATAGGAAGGTCACTGTACTCCTGCTGGAGAACTCTTGGTAGAAGGGTTTGAATAACGACTCCATATTTACTGACTGCCTTAGGTAACTAAATCTACCTGTACGTCGATGTTCTGAGAATTCATATTCAGTTGGCGAATCAATAGGATACCTCTGTTGCTCCTATGCAAAATGCTCTATACATTCCGTCCTTCAATGCAAGAGCACTTGTCATGACTAGCCAGAGCCACTGTTTTCAAGTGTACGCACCTTGTTCTGCATGTTACTCGGTATTCAGTGAAAAAACAGTTGCGCACAGCCACAGGCCTGATGTACTTCTCTCTCCACATGATCTATGGAGTTCTTTCCCATCCCGTGACCGATTTGCCTGAGCTTGAACAACTGGCGACGACACAGTAGCTCCAGCCGCAGCCACATGTACCCCTCTATACTACGCCGGTGGGCATTCCGACATTCGCAGGGTGAAAACGTGTTCATAGACTGAATAATATCCTTCAAGGCGAGCTGCTTATGGCTTTGGAAGAATAAGCTTCTGTCTAAATTAGCAGCAATTCAGGGTACTGTACAACAAATTTCTTCTCAGCAGGCTTCAGATACGATCATGTGTTGCAGTGTTGTTGATACAGCATTTTCATAAGCTGCTCCGCGCAGATCTGTTGCTGCTCCGCTGATATGCTGCTTCCCGACTACTCTAGAGCCGCTTCGCATCTCAAACTTTCATTTAAAGTGTGGGAACACGGAACTGTTTCCACCAGACTTCCGAGGCTCTTAACAAGCTACCAAGCCGTGTAACTGTCTGGAAGTCTCGCAGCCTCCAAGGTGAGCTGCAAACGTCTGTGCAAATGGGAAGCAGACCGCTTTCATATTTTCTGCGGCATGCATGTTTAGGAATTGACCAAAAACTCGCAAAAAGCATGAATGCTTCACTCAAGTGTGGAGCAAAAAGAGAAAAAAAATGAGAAACTTGAGAACTACAAAAGGCGACTTAATTAATACGGTGCACCACACTTTGTTGGGCATCAGTCAGTCTGCTGTTGACCCATCATTGCTGGCTGGCTGGCTCAAAATTTCTCTCGCTCGCGACTTAAACTCACTGATGCATTCCCAAGCCCTACGTGTGCATCCAAGCTCACTCATTGCTATGCAGCACGCAAGCAACTTGTTCATGTGTATGCGAAGCTCCATAATTACAAAGCCTAGTTTCCGCAGCAGAATCCGGCTCTTGCTGGACATTCTCCTGTCCCTCTCTTGTTCTGCTTCGCGCTCTAGAAACACGGGGTCTCCCCGTTGGCCTCCAGCCTCCTGAACAATTTCACATAAAATGTTTAGCCCATGCATTTACAGACGCCACAATGAGCAAGACAGCTTTGCAGTAATGTCAGAAAGTCTGCCAGCAAGGTCATCAAATTCCGCATGTGGTAGCCACAAGTTCCGGAAGCAGTGGAAAACAGGCTTGTCATGTAAACGTACATGGATAGCCAAAATCGCCTGTTGAGCCACAGTCGTCACCGGAGGCATTTCGGAGTGAGCTGACGCGCTCAAAGATGAGTCACCAAACATCGTTTCCTTGATCATCATCCCTGGCAGGCCCAAATGCTCATACTTCGGCACCTGAAGCTGCGAAGCAGTTTGACGGCTTGCTCTGGGAGTGTCATGGTCAAGTACGAGTGCAATTATCTTCACGGCAATTCTCTCTATGAGATTTTTATTTTCAAGCATTGATTCATAAAGGAGCGAAAAACGTAAGTTTCGCTCCTGAAATTTTGCGTCAACTTTTTCGAAGCCTGCATGAACCAAAAGGCTGGCCAGACTCTGGGCTGCCAATTCTGTAGACCCTATGGCACAAAATTCGTAGGCCCTGCGCAAAAAAAGAACGTGCGAAGTACAATGCGATCCCGCTCGTCTAGAGTGCTTTATCAGATGAATCAAGGCATCAGAAATGACATCTTAGTTCAGCGCGCGGCCAGTTCTTGCATGTGCACTAAACCCCTATCAGCGAACTGTGCAGTGTGCCTTACAAAACACAAACAAGAGATGCAAGTGCCACAGGCGCGATCAGCGGCGTTAATGGAGCACAGCTCGACCAGATCTCCGCGACAGTATCATATGTGTCCAGGGCAAAACAAACTGCAGAAGATTTCCTGAAGAGCTCCTGGCTTTCTGAAACAAACAAAATGCTTACATGGGGCAGCTAAGCATGTTGCATTTCCAATGCTTTTTAAGAATGCTTCAAAGTGAAAATGCTGTAGCTCAACAAACATCTTTGGCCCCATCGATACCAGAGCAATCCGCAAAAAAACACCACAGCAAAAAGGCCAAAAAACGACCTACTGCAAGCTCACCACAAGCTTTCTCTACGTGTTCCAGTAGCTGCCGAAGAGCGTTCATCTGTGACTCGCGCTGTTGACTTGCAGCTTTTGCTGCTCGCTCCGCCTCCTCACGCTGAACGTCAGTCATAGCAGCGTGAGGCACTACTGGATCCTGCTCAAACAATTGCCAACTACCAGTGCCAAAATGTCCGTCGAAAAAACTTGTTCCCGCTATCAGGCCCTGGTTTGCTCCCTTTCCCAACTCAGGCTCCATCAGAGACGCCATTTTATCCCAAGTTTCAGTCGCACGTTGCAAGCTCCGCAACTGCGTGTGTATTAGACGGGAACTCTGCTCAAGTTGCCTCAATGCAGTAATTGCTCTTTTGCCAGCGCCGGCAGGAGAAGTGTCCAAGATATCCGCCTTTTGTGAACAAGCACACAAAAAGAAGGTCCACGTGCTACAGATACTGATTGCTGTAAAAAACATCTTTAGAGTGAGCTGAATGGCGTGGACACCATCGTTCGGCAAACTACTGCGCAAAGACAACTACAAAGTGCTTACATCATTTCCGGACTCATCCATTTGCCCACGGGAAACTGAAGAGCTCATAGCGGAGGATAAACGGGTGAAGCTCCTCTTCAGTCGTTCTCTTGCAAAATCCCGGTAAAGAGCATCGATGGAGCTTCCTCTCCCACCTGGAGCTCTGAAGGCGCCATTGCCGCTGTTGCTTTGCCTGTTCATCTCATCCTTACGGTCACCGCTTGAGCCGCTCCCAAGACTTAGCACCTGCTCGAAATTCGAATTCACCCCTCTTGTGGTGCCCTGCCTAAGTGGAGTAAATATGCTGAGTTCGCCCAACCGCCGACGCTCCGCATCTTCCTGCATTTTCCTCACGAGATCCTTAAAGGAAGGAAGACTTCCACGAGAGCCCGCAACTGAACTAGATCTCTGGTGACGAAAATTCTCCGGAACGTGAAAAGAGCCCTTTACAGGCGGAATGCCCATGATAGTGCGTTGACTCCGAATACTAGCGGGACGGCCAACAGGCTGACTAGCAGAAAGCAGTGAACTTCCCATTCGTCCACCATAAGCCGCACTTTCTGCTTCTTTCAAGCCCCCCCGCAAGCTTCGCGAATACTCAATCCCTTGCTCTCCATCAGTGCTACGTCTTCTGCTTCGCATATTGCTGGATGGCCACCGATCTGGAAAGTCAAGCACTCTGGACCGCGGGCTGGTAGCGAGCCAACCCGAGACGCTCTCTGGCGCGACATTTCTTGCTTGTTCGTCATATTTCTCAAGCCTTCTTACAGGCGTCTTTGAAGTCTTTGGCCTTGTTGGATCTGAGAGCACAGCAGCAAATGCAGGTTGAAAGGGTGGCTGTAGGCCAATGAGATGTTATCGCCGTAGTGGAACACATTTCGCATGGATATGCATAGAGCCCACAGCGCTCATCAAAAAACCAGAAATCAGCTGTTGGCTTCAAGTGTTCATTCCGTCCGTGGAGCCGGCCATTGGCCACTCCTGTTTTGGGTTCGGTGTGAAGGCAACGCTTACCAACAACTGTGTAATTCGTGGATCCGAGGATCCACCAATCGCCTGCCTTGCCATCTGTCTTCGTGGGCAGCTGTGCAGTTCCACCAAGAGAGCCACGCGTCGGGCCTAGCGTGGAAGTCTGCATGCTGCCGGGACACCAATAGGAAGTCAGCTGTTGCTCTGGTCAGTGAGGACGCCAGTGACCCACTAGAAGGCTCCAAGAGAAGGGGAAAGACAGTTACAGTGAAGGAATAACTGAAAAGACTCTAATGTGGGTAAATAAGTTAAAAAATTCCCATTTGACAGACAGGCTATTGTCTTCTTTCTCGCTTCGCATCGGCCCATGATTGCAGAAGCACGCAGAGTACCGTAAGTTATCTCCAAGGAGATTAGACAAAGCTCTCGCTTCAGCGTATGCGCCGCGTGGAAACAGCCTGATCCGGCAGAGCGCATGAAACTAAAACTGACCAGTCCCTTGCGAATCGATGAGCTCGAACTAGCATTTCGTTTGGCCAGACTGCCACCGCCCGCCCCAACATGAAAAAAAGTAGTACCTTTCAGTACATAAAAATTTATATTACAGGCTTGGTCCACGTTGGTCGCATGCTTGAGGCCGGTACTTGGCACCGGACAATGAGGGGCCAGAGTTCTCAGGATGTTTGCCGGTGTGTGGCTCGAGCCCGTGTCTCTAGGTCACAGCTTACTGGGCTGAGTTTAGCCTTTAATAACTATAATTGAACACTTTAGGAGTTAGCGTGGGACAATCAAGCCCTAAGGCCCTACCAGTACGCAGTATTAATTCCACGAGCCTTTCGCGCGCCCATCGAGCGACCCATCCATGTTTCACCAAGCACAGAGTAGTGGCGCTCGCAAATGACCGGCTCCTCACACATAGAAGCATTATAGGAAGAGTATTTTGCTCATGAATGCAGTTTTAACGGCCTGGAAAACATGCCGAGCACATCACCTCCCCATAACTGAAGAGGTCGTCCATGGTGCGACCGCTGGAACAACTATTCAAGGAAAGTGCCTTGCTCAAAGAGGCCTGTTCATGGAGGCCTGTTCATAGTTTCAGAACCTAAAAGGGCAACTGCATTAAAATTCGAGAGTTCCAGAGGTTTGTCACTAGAAAATTTACGTTCTGAAGCTCTCCACTGCCCTGCTGGCCTTGAGAGGCCTCTCCGGACGCAGAATAGCCTGGCGTCCCGGGCCTGGCATCACAAGATCCTGCAGAAGGCAACTGGCCAAGAAAACCCATCCGCTCCGATATTTCTGAAGTTCCGGTTTCACTGGACAACCTAACCCGACACAGAATCAAAACTGTCTCGTAGATTAGCAACTACTACTGTAACTGCTGCCTACTGCCGCGTATATGAAGCGTACATAGCACCCAGTAAGCACGCTTCCATACGAGGGCAAGACAGTCGTACAAGCCAGCTCCTTCGTAGTCAGTTTTTTGTGCACTCTCTCAAATTCGTGCAATGCTTTTCACCTAGGAGTTCGGGCCTTGGGCCTGTAAAGCGAATCCACAAGGCACAGGCGACCGCGTAGGTCCCAACTGAGCATTGCCTCTGCTAAGGCAGTGCGTACACTCTCAGCAAGCCACTATGTGCTTGCAGTTTAGACTTGCTGCATTTCATCCTTTCCAATTACATGGCCTCCTCCAAGCAAACAGAAATGCTAACTTCTTGTCAACTTCCAGTTCGATGAAACCGTACTGGTCGAACCAGTTGCTCCTGTTGCACTGATCTCTCCTACTTGGCCACAGCCTCGTGGGCGTGCAAAATTCAATTCTTTCCAAAAACTCCCCAAAAGCTCCCCCACGCCTTCATGACCGTTTCTCAATTGGGGCTCATTCATATTTCACATTTTGCCATCCACAGGCATCTGTCCTCCCTCAGCCCCTAAATCTTGCTGAACTTCAACTGCGTCGGCGAAAGAAATCTGAGAATTGCCGTGGCGTCCCAAAATATGCTCTCTGTTCCGATGCAGCCTCCAGGTTGCTTCAATGCCTTCTTCCGCCCTGCGTATCCAGTTTTGCTGATCCCGGACGCTGCTGAAGTGTCTGTACACAGCTGAAAACAAACAAATAATGCCCAAGACTGCCAGCAGAGTAGATGCAACGGAGGCAATATCTTCCCGGTCAAGATTTGCGAATCTGGCGAGCACATGGGCGGGGCCTCCAGTCACAGATTCATCTCTTTCGTAAGAAATCCAAACTGAAAGCAAAAGAAATAGCAGCCCGACGACGAAGACCTTCGCGCCCAACACGCGCGGGGCCTTCGGCAAAAACAGCAGCGGGTACAGCGGGTCATCTAGCAACACCAGATTCTGTCCTTCTTGTTTTTTTTCAGAAAGCTCCCCCACGCTGAGTCGAGAATCCCCTGCTGGAGCCCCCCCACTTTCGCTTCTCGTGGCTATCTGCTCGCTGCCCTCTACATCGGGCACGCCAATAAGGGAATAGGAGTATTCTGTGGCCGAGTTTTTGTTGGCGTTTCCGGCTTTATTCTTGCTTGCCCACTTCTGCTTGTCGTGGGCAGCCCAGGGTGACCCTAAAATGTCCTTTTGAGGCGGTGCAGCCACTTCGCGGCGCGTCAAAATGTGGTATTCGCCGGAGTTTTCTGCAAAGGAGCTGTGCTCTTTGGTGTCAGCGGGCACTGCAGCGAATTCCCTCCCTCCCAGTGCTGCCCCGGCAACCCCGAGAGTGGAATGAAGTCCCCCCAGTGAAATATACAGGGAAAGCACAGCTAGCCAATTCATTGCTGTTTAGGGGGCGACGGTCTGCTGAGGCGGCGGCAAGTCACTCCACAAACAGAGCTTTGAAAGCAAGGGAAGCACTGCACATCTGCTGCAGCTTCCTGCGAACACTACTGGGGGATATTAACAAATTCGCCAGCCGTGGGGGGCCTTTGAGTGACTTTCCCTTGACGCTCCAAGTGTACACGGACAGCAGCCACGGCGTCGAACTGCGCACCGCAGCAGCGGGCAGTTGAGTGGACTTCTCCACTGCCAACGGCAAATGTAGAAGGTTTGTTACTGGAAAACACTTCTGGTGAGAAAAAGGCGACAAAAAGTAAACACGCTTTCTCCACCACAGAAGCTCAAATTATGACCCTCAAAAAGAAAGAAGGGCCCGTGAAGCGCAAGCTTCCGTGGAGTTCGAATAGACCAAAACTAAAAAGAAGCGATTCAACCTTGGCAACTTGTTCCTGAGGGCTTGATACGGAAGAAGGACGGACCACTGACCTCCGCCCCCAACACCAGGTTGAGAATGCTTCGAGTGTCTCTCGGAAGCTTCCTAATACTCCCCTTCAAGTTAGCGGACTCCAAAAATATATTTAAAATTATTGCAAAACGAAGCTGAAAGCTCGGAAAATATTTCCCCAAGAAGCCAACTATTCCAGAATCAGGACAGCACATGTGCTGCTCGAGCGCTCGACTGTCTCACTGGCAGCTCATTAGATCGCAGATCCACTTTATTTTTTCGCTCCTCGGGAAAATTCCCCTTTTGTTGCCTCTAAAGCAGTTATTTTCCAAGCCATTAACGCATAACATCAACAGGCCTTGCGGAAGTAAGGAGAAAGCTCGTCCATTTGCTAGTGAGCGTTGAGCGTTGTTCGAGACAAACCGCTAAAACCACCGACGTTCTCAGAAAGCTGCGTATCTCGGGTCTCAGAGTGCCACTGCGATTTAATTACTATTAATACTTTTATGATACTTCAATTGTGCGGAAATAATTGTAAATCCGCCCAAAATCTGACGTTTTAAATGGGGTGTTACAGCAGAAGCTGCACAGGGGTCATGCGACTGTAACATTGGCACTGCATTTAGAGGGAGCTCACAAAGCCAAAGATATGCAAAAGCTCCTTATTAAATACGATTGAGGGCCCATTTCATGGAGCGTTGCAATGAGTGAAATACTTAAGGGAATCAAACGAGCACACCAAGGCAGCATTGGCTACCAAAGAGCAGTATCCTGTAGACAATTATTCCCAACTTACTTTAAAGCTGTGTAGAAATAAGGGCTAGCTTGCAACCCCACGAACTGTACGCTGATGGCGCTGAACTATCTGGGGAAGGTACTAGTGATATTTATTGTTTTGATCAAATTGTAAACTGAAGAGGGGGCGAAAGAAATCATTGTTGTCCAGTGGAAGAAAGATCCTCGAAGGGATGCAGAGAACTTGTGGTCTCCCCCGCAGCTTCATGAGTTGATGGTAGCTGGGCTGAACAGTTTTATCTGAAACTGTGAGGACGCAAGGTTTTCGTGGCCTGAAGAGCTTTTATCTTCCAGCTATGCATGCAACAAGAAGGTAAGCGGTGCTACCACTGGGTTGCGGAACATCTGTTTGGAGGGTTCTGGATCCTCTCGCGGCTCCAACTTGCCAAGAGGTTAGAGTTGAAGTTCCGGTATTTTGAGTTTCCAGCAATCCTTGCTATCTGGAAAGACTGCTGTCACCAGCAGCGAGCGGAAAAGGAAGCATTACTACACTGAAGGCACTTTCCCCTCGTGGTTCTAGCTTGTTCCCGAAATATTGATTAATTGCAAACATTCACTTAGAACGTCCCCAGGTCAGCTCGAATCTAGTTGCAGGAATGTTTAAGTTCCAGAGACCTGATTATGAAGGAGAAGGAATCAGTAGACTCCACTTCTCAAGTGAAGGAGCTGTTTCTTAGTGGCACTTGCGTGCCTGAAGGAAACGGCATGAGCTCCTCAATCTAATTGGGCCAAAAGCAGCGAATATTAGCATCGGGGAAAGAAGCAGTAAGCAATGAACTTAGGGATAAAATATCCGGAAAAAATTAGTAAATGCTACAACATTATTGGTGTAAATTGAGTGTTTTCAACCCAGATAAAACCCGGTGGCAGGGAGGAGTCTAGGCTACAACTAAGGATGCCTTAACCTGGCGAACCAAGACTGGAAACAACTGAGTTGACACTGAAGCATCCATAAATTAAAGTTGCTTAGCCCTGGCCACGGCCGAAAGGCTCCAGAAACCTTTACAAACACTCAAGAGCGGCCACGCCGGCATCGGGCGGTTGAAAATCGGGTAACTAAGATGTCCTTATGGACAGACTAGTCAAGAAGCCAACTGAACAGAAGACGAAAACTCTTAAGACACACTTAATCAGCCACTACAGCAAAAAATGAGAATCATGCAATGAAAGCGGGTCACTAACCGAAGGTCGTCACGATCAGTGGGCCGCAGCGTATAGAAGTGCCCAAGCTGCCATTAAAAGTTGAAACAACTATTCAGATTGCAATGGCATTTCGTTGAAAAAGGCCCCTAGAGTTGGGTTCGCAGCGCCATTTTCACTGTGCAGCTTCCTGTGCAGCCCAGCTAGGTTCTTCCCGCAACGCGGCAGTTTTTACTAACGAACCCAGCTGAAATTAGTCCCATAAAATATAGCTAAAAGTTTCATGCTAGAGTTGAGGTGTGGAGACGTTTTGAATGCGGATCAATGACCGCAGCGCTACGCAAACAGGCTGGTTGTAAACGAAAGCTACAATGAGCTAGCCCACCGCGCTTTGAAGGCGTGCTAGAACCCGAAAATTCTGGGGGCCAGTTTTCTCTCATGATAAAAAAGTGCATGCATGTTATATTGAAAGCGTTTCAGCATACAGAAATGTCACAGCAGCCGAAACGAACCTATCTATGAACAGACAGCCACAGCTCTTCACGACCACAGCTACAACGCTGCATGATGGGGCCCATCGCACGGAGTAATTCTGCTCTACAAGATCCCTTTCCTGTAAATTCACCTTTTTATGTCACGTAGTGTCAAAGACAAACTAGAATTGAGGCCTTGATCCTATCACGGGCACTCAGAAGAAGTCCTGTAGGTAAGCAGAGCTGCGCGTGCGGCCGTCAGCAGCCACCCAGCACCACCACCGCCACAACCCCTGAAATGCTCCCTCCGTTGTGCAAGCCTCCATTGCCTTGATTCTCACAGGCGAAAGCTTCTCTTCTTTGGCTTTCTTATACTCAATTTTCTCGAGAGACTGTTCTGTCGAGGCAGGAATCGGCACAGTTGCGTGCGCCTGCTGTCTGGTGCCCCTTCTTGCCTGCAGCAGGGCGCTGACACGTCGCCGTCCTTTGCGTGCAGTTGCCTTTCCCTGCCACTTCTTTCTTTCGCGAAAATGAGAGAAATCGTTCACGTTCAGGGCGGCCAATGCGGCAACCAGATTGGCGCCAAGTTCTGGGAGGTTATTTCGGATGAACACGGCATAGCCCCGGTGAGGAGCCCCGCATTTTTCTCGGATATACCGCAGTTCATGTTGGTGCACATGAAGATTTTATAAGCACTCATCAGCTTCTTGCTAGATACAGTTTCACTCAGCTTCCAGAGCCGCGATTTCTCCCTCTGGCTGGGTGCATTAGTGGGTCCAGCGGGCGGCGTGTCCCGTGCGCCTAGCCATCGGCTGCCGCATCCGTGAAAAAAGCGATTGCCTCGCCCTAATTCACGTCGGCGTCTGCAATACTTTTTCATTTTATTGTGTATCAATTCATGGTGACGCTTCCCGCTGAATCTTTCAGCGCTCAGTAGTCCATTGACCCGCTTGCCTCCAGCGCAGGCCCCGGGGGCCGCTGTGGAACGCAGCGCAGTAGAAAAAAGTTGCACGCCTTTTCGAGAAGTCTAAAGCTTTCTGTGGTGACTGAGCAGCGTGGCAGTGTGCTAGCTTGCTAGGGAGCGGCTGCATCTGGAGCAGACTGCAGGCCTGTGCGTCGTGTTGTTTGCTTTCGCTCTGACATGTTTCGCAGACCGGCACCTACAAGGGTGACAGTGATCTCCAGCTCGAGCGGATTTCAGTGTTCTACAACGAAGCCACTGGCGGGCGCTACGTGCCCAGGGCCGTCCTCATGGACTTGGAGCCCGGCACAATGGACTCTGTGCGATCGGGGCCTTTCGGGCAGCTGTTTCGCCCCGACAACTTCGTGTTTGGCCAGACCGGCGCGGGCAACAACTGGGCGAAGGGGCACTACACTGAGGGCGCGGAGCTGATCGACTCCGTGCTGGACGTGGTGCGGAAGGAGGCGGAGGGCTGTGACTGTCTGCAGGGCTTTCAAGTCACGCACTCGCTGGGAGGCGGCACGGGAAGCGGCATGGGAACGCTGCTAATCAGCAAAGTCCGCGAAGAATACCCCGACAGGATTATGGAAACGTTTTCTGTGTTTCCGTCGCCGAAGGTGTCGGACACGGTGGTGGAGCCGTACAACGCGACGCTGTCTGTACACCAGCTGGTGGAGAACGCGGACGAAGTGCAAGTGATCGACAACGAAGCGCTTTACGACATTTGTTTCCGCACTTTGAAGCTGACGACTCCGACTTACGGCGACTTGAACCACCTGGTCAGCGCCGCCATGTCGGGGGTCACTTGTTCGCTGCGCTTCCCGGGCCAGTTGAACTCCGACTTGCGGAAGCTGGCCGTGAACTTGGTGCCTTTCCCTCGCCTGCACTTCTTCTTAATTGGCTTTGCGCCGCTCACCAGCCGCGGCTCGCAGCAGTACCGAGCCTTGACTGTGCCCGAACTCACGCAGCAAATGTTCGACGCCAAAAACATGATGTGCGCCTCCGACCCGCGCCACGGCCGTTACTTGACGGCCTGCGCGCTGTTCCGCGGCCGCATGAGCACTAAGGAAGTTGATGAACAAATGTTGAATGTGCAAAACAAGAACTCCTCTTACTTCGTGGAGTGGATTCCCAACAACATGAAGTCCGGGGTCTGCGACATCCCGCCCAAGGGCCTCAAAATGTCCGTCACCTTCGTCGGAAACTCAACCGCCATTCAGGAAATGTTCAAACGCGTCTCCGACCAGTTCACCGCCATGTTCAGGCGCAAGGCTTTCCTCCACTGGTGAGTTCCGTGCTGCTGCTGCTGCTGCTGCTGCTGCTGCTGCTGCATGCAGTTTCCTCTTTTTGCATGCAGTTTCCTCTTTTTTGCATGCAAGTAGTTTCAATAGACGCCGGACGGATGTGCACTTCGCGCACTCAGGTACACTGGAGAGGGTATGGACGAAATGGAGTTCACCGAAGCCGAGTCCAACATGAACGACCTGGTGTCTGAATACCAGCAGTACCAGGTGGGTTTGGCGGTGTCAGTGCTGCGTGGGAGTTTCGTGTTTGACTTTTTGTGGAGAGAAAGACTTCTTCTGTGGCTTTTCTTTCCTCAGGATGCAACTGCCGAGGAGGAAGGCGAGTTCGACGAGGAAGAGGGGGTCATGGACGCAGAGGGCGCAGCGTAAAGGGAATTCGTTGCTCGCTTTTTCTCTGTCTCAGGATGCTTTAGTTGCGGGTTCGGGGCAGCCCCAGGGGCTGCCCCGCACTCGCGTTTCCCCAGCACTCACAGATGTATTGCGTCAGCGAACTTGGTTGTGTCGGCCGAACTGGAGGGAATACGTGTAGTTGCGCAGCGAGAAAACAAAGTCGTTTATGTAGGGAATTGTCAAGCAGGGGCGGCCGGCGAAGCCGAAGATGCCGTTCGCTCAACTGAAAGGTTTTGTCTTTTGGATTAAAAAAACTCAGCTGATGCACCGGAATTAATCTGCGTAGCCAGTGTCCGCTGTTTGCTGGGCGCGCCTTCGCTGGCGAGCTCTGTTGTCTGGTGTTCAGACACCACAAATAGCTGACGTTGCCCTCCGCGCCGACGGCACAGAACGCTGCTGCTGAAAGGGAGTTGGCTTCCGTCTTCCGGCTCCACTATTATTATTTAGTGCTGGATTTGGCGCACACTATTTTCTATTCTTGCTGCAAACGTGTCAAGAGCTGTTCGACTATGTGTCGTCTCGAGAGTGGGCAGCAACGCCATTCAGGGGAACTGTAACGCGAATCTGGCACAAAACGAGAAGTAGTCCAGCCTAGTTCTCGAGGAATGCACTTTAATTAAATAATCTCGTTACTTTTTTCTGCATTTGACGGCAAATCGGAACCAGATTCTCTGGCTTCTTCCCCCCTGGTGAGGCGCACTGTCAGTGACGGCGCCGGCACTGACAAGCAGCTGCCACTGGTAACACTCAACAGCCACATTAACTCCCTCTAAATGCAGCCTTTTGTTCCTTTTCTGACAAGCAGCTGCCACTGGTGACACTCAGCAGCCACATTAACTCCCTCTGGATGCAGCCTTTTGTTCCTTTTCCCTTACATCTAGAAGTGCTCGGTCCAGCTCCAGCACGACGCGGGCGAGAGCCTCGGGGTGCACTCCCTGCTCCAGCATTTTGGTCAAAATGGTCAGAGATTCCCTATCAAGTCCCGTGTTGAGGATGTTTGAGATCTCCACCAAGAGGTCTTCTCGCGTAGTAGTGTCATTCTCGCAATCCAGCATGACCATGTTGTTAGTGGGTACGGAAAATGCGTAAAAAAAACAAAGTCTTTCGAATCTTCTGCCAAAAGGCCCTTGAAATATGCTTTTATATGCAAACAGCCAGCCCGTAGAAGAGCCAGCAGGGATGGCCTTTTAGGCAAAGTACAAATGAAGACACTGTCTGACGGAAGACATGAAACCACTCTTGAACAGAATGCTGGCAATGTGCTGTTTGCGCTGCCAGTTCCTTCAACTCTGGCTGTTTGCAAGCTTTTCAAATATCTATTCAACTCAAATAAATGATACTGTTCACTGACAAACACCCCGGGTAGGACATGCAGCCACCGCCGCCGCCAGGCGCATGCGCCCGTGTGTAGGCCCACCAGACAGCAGAAAGAAACTTTAGATGGCAAATAAAACTTATTATGAAGCAAAATCTCAACTTTTTTCATTATAAAAGAAAGTAAACCGCGAGCCTAATTGTATAACGGGTGGGCAAATGCAAATTCTCGGAGCCGCCGGCTGGATGGCCGAGTGGTCTAAGGCGCTGCGTTTAGGCCGCAGTCCGCAAGGGCGTGGGTTCGAACCCCACTCCAGTCATTTCTTTACTAATTCTCTTCTTTTCTTGATTAGTCTCTGCTCAACCACTTCTTGTCCAGCAAATTGTACTTACAGGCTGCGCAAACTTGCATTCATTGGCCCCTGCAGAGGGGTAGAACAGCAACAGCTGGGCTTCACTGCAGCAGCACTGAAGCCACGCAACAGCTGGTGCTACCCAAGCTGCTTTCCCAACACATTTGCTGGCCTTTTTGTTGGAAAGCGAATGCCTATCGCCTTGAAGCAGCTTCTCTTCGGGCGGCGCTGCCGATGCACACTTGAAATGGAACGTTTTGTTCGCCGCAGCAGCTGAAGTGTTCAATAGTTGAACAGGAGCAGCTGCTGGCGCATCAACTGTGCTAGCTTTTTAGTTTCTGAATGCATGCTGTGGAGCTGAAGCCAAGTGGGCTGTGCTTCGTTGAGTGATTGGCAATTCACTTCGAGAGTCACGCTTGCTCACCAACAGAGCTTGAAATGCTGCAAATTAGCATCCATAGGGAAGTCTACAGCAGCTGCATGCATTCAAGAGATTGGAGTTCCGTGCTGGGACGTCTAGAGGCCGTTTCACTGAAGTGCACAAAATTGAAAGAGGACATCCAAGGCCCTAAAACTCTCTTTTGTGCTCTCTATTGCAATGCTGCTTGTTATTGACTACTAATGACAGTTATATGAGGGCTCAAATGTTGCAACTACGCCAACTTTGCAACTTTCTCCAATTAGAATACTGGCCAGATTGGCCTTGGACAGCATTGAAAGCTCCCCGTCTGGTGAAATTGTCTGAAGATGCAGCCCGTCTGCAGCCTCTGCATGCGCCATATGTAAATTTCTTAACTGTATTGACTAATTACCAGCCGCGCTAGCGAAATATGAATTGCTGAAGAGACAAGTCCTTTAATTTAGACAAAAGGATTAGGTCCACCGTGCCTGAGTGGTCTGCACACTATTTTTTTTAACGCTTCGAATATCTGTGTTGATTTGTTCCACGAAGTAGCATGAGATATCTGCGATGCGCTTGAACAGTAGAAAAATTGGCTGGTATCGCCTTCGTGGAGAACTTGAGCCATTACTAAAATGAAAATTGCAGAATAAAACCTTTCTAAACGAGGTGAAAAGGCAGACAATGAGGAATTGCCGAGCTTTTACGCATTCGATGCGGAAATGTTTCGCAACCACGCTTACTTGGCATGCATTCGGCGTTTCAGGGAAAATGACATAAGCATAAAAGCACACTAAAGTCAGAAGAGTTGTAGAAGAAATTATGTGGGAATACTTTCGGGGGTGCTTCTCCTGTGCATGTGGGGGCTCATGCTGGGGCTGAGAGCCCCCTTTGTGCCGAAGGCCGCTGCTGTCTATAAGGCACTTCTACGTCTTCCGACATATATGTTCATTCATTCTGTTTTTGTCCCACATATTTTGTCTACTTCCACGCTTTGCTCAGCTGGCACACCCCAACTACTTGCAAAGTTGAGAGTACTAACCGGGGAAGTACCAAAGTTAAGTACTACTGGTATATCTAATTTGTTAGCTAGCTTTAGCTAGCTTCGCTAGCTAACAAATTAGATATATGACGCATCTAATTTGTTAAAGTGCTGTGCTCTAACTCTTAAGGACTTGTACTTGATTGGATCCAACGGCACCAGTAAATTCTAATACTACTAACGCTTTCCGAGCGTGGCTTCATGTTTTGAAACTACCATCACACCTGAAATGTGCCGCATTTAGATGTGAATGAGCTTCCATTACAAAATTATTAAGCATAAAAATTCGTGTTTCTGGATCCATGTACGCAGGATGCGCCATGGAGAAGCCAACACAACATAGAAAAATTGCCCAAGTGCTCGCAACGATGCGATGACCTGCACATGAAAATACGCCTCGAACGGTCTTAGGTCCCGCTGTTTGCTGCAACTCACTGTTTGCTGCAGCAGTTCAATTGACCCAAGCTCGGACCATTCTTTCAGAAAACAATCCATTAACTGACTGTTGCCTGCCACCCAATGCAGATTCGACTCAGCTTTAATCCTAAATTGCCAAAATACTTCACTTGCCAACGACGTTGCTTGACAACGCAGCGATAACTATACATTATCCTTGAGACAAGGCACATGCAAGTTTACCGTTGCAAGAATGGCTAACAAATTGAGATAAGCTTTGAAGGCTATTCAAGAACAGCCTAGTGCAAATATGTAGACCCGATTGCGCACAATTTCTTGCGCCTCATGTCCGAAATGAATAAAACCCATGGAGCGACAAGTGCGGCAGTACAGGAGCAACAGCAGCAGCAGGAACACTGCAGTGTCTGTCATTCATGCGCCGAATCCAAGCACCTGAGTGGTCCATTGTGTCCTCCTCTTGCAAAGAACAGGGAGGACCCACGTTGAGTTTTTGTAAAGATGAAAACAAAATGCTTATTGCGATCAAAAGTGAAAATAATATGACGAAGGCACCTCACGTAAGCTGCCAAGAGTCTTGGTTTCGCATGACCTCGCCTGCGGTCAAGGGTGCTCCAGCGCCTGCGTCAGGTTCCGACGAGTTTCACTAACTGTGCAAATCTATTGTGAACGGAAGATTCTTCAAATTGCGCTTTGGAAAGCTGATCAACTGGAAAGCTGATCAGTTCTCAGAGTTATCTTCCTCCTCCTTGCTCTGCGCTTCCGAAGCCGGGTTCCAGAACCTCGAAGTCACTTGAACGCGCGGCGGCGCGCCGTTCTGAATGTCGCTGCTGGAAGACTCCGAAGGAGTTCTTGTCCGGGACATCTCCAGCAGCGCGTGGCCGAGCCCCAGCGGGACCCGCGCTGCAGCGCCGTTGGCAGTGGTTGGGCTGCTTCGACTTGGGCTGCTGCGGGCTTCGCTGCGAGTTGCTGCTGCTTCTGGCTCTGCTGCTGCGGGCCAACCAGCAGCAGCAGCTGTCGGCAGCGGCGAACTCGACTCGCTCCGGGGAGAAGAAGATCCCGCCGGACTCGGAGTGAAGCTGCTGCTGACGGCTGCTGCTGGCGCAGCAGCAGCGGAGGCCGCGGGGAGGCCTGCAGGCTCTGCAGCGGGCTGGTGCTCCGGGGGAAGACGGCGGGGGCTCGAAGGCGCGCTGTGGCTGGGAGAAGAACTCGGGCTGCTGCTGCTGCTGCTGCTGCTGCTGGGCACTGGAGATGAGACGCTGGGGCTGGCTGTCTTGTCGTGTGTCGGCGTCGGCGCAGTTGGGCTGGCGCCGCCTCTTCGCCTGCTGCCGGGTGGTGCCTCGCGCTGCAGCAGCCTGCCTGCTGCTGCTGCTGCTGCTGCTGCTGCTGGCTCGGCCGCAGCTGACGGCTGGCCGCTTGCTTCTCGCTGGGCTGCTGCGCCTCCAAGTCTGCTGCTGCGGGGCCCAGGGGCTGCTGCCTGCAGCGCCTCCGGCCCCCGAGGACTTGGGACGGGAACGAATTCGTTGACGCGATCTCGCTGCAGACGCAAGAAGCTCTGCGGGCCGGAGTCGACTCCGGCGAGGGAAAGCTCCAAACGGTCCAGAGGGCTGTAGCCGTTCATGAACGGCGGCTGGCGGGGCGGAAGTCCCAAACTTCGTTCCGGAGGTCTCCAGCGCATCGGCACTGGCGGGAAGTCCTCAGCCGGAGCTGCTTCGCGCTGCGGGCTGTAGATCGTCAGAGAGGCGAGGCCAGAGCCGTCTGCCTCGGGCGGGCTCGGCAAGGAGGCTTGCTGCTGCAAGTCGCCGCGCGCTGCGGGGCTTTCCGCGAGCTCGGCCTCCAGTCCGACGAAGTCGGGGTTTTCCATCTTGAAGAGCCGCAGGAAGTCCTCGCGGTCGAGGACTTGCTGCGCAGTGGCGCCGTTCAACAAGTCCGTGTACTCCGCAGCAACTTCCTCCGCGCTGATCCGCTTGCTGCGGTCCGTCTCGAGCAACCGAACCACCAGTTCGCGCCACCGCCGCGAAACTCCACTGCCTTCCATTTTCGTCAGCATCTCGTCGATGTCAGTGTGTTCCCGCAGCTGCACGACGTGCGGGATGGCGCTTTCGTCGGAGGGGATCTCGGAAAGCCCGAACGGCAGTTCGCCGTCCATCAGGATCTGGTGCAGAACAATTCCCAAACTCCACATGTCGGACTTCGCGTTGGCTTGCGCGAGACCCTTGCAGTCTTCGTAGCACCAGAGGCTCGCGAGCAGTTCAGGTTCCGTGGTCAGCGGCGAGATGCCCACGTTGTCCGGGATGACTTCGCCGAAAGGCACGCTCGACTGAAGACCCAGCAACAAAACAGACCCGTCTTCTTGAACTCCGAAACTTCTGCAGTTCAGTCCGTTGTGGCTCCAGCCCGCGCGCTGCATGTGCAGCACAGTCTTCAGCACGCTCCGCGCGATGTACGCCTTGGTGCCGGTGGGCGGCAGATCCAGCGCGTCCAGCGCGTCTTGCAAGGAAACTTCGACGTTTTCCGTAATTTCAACTGCAGACATAACACTTAAACCTTTGTGGCGCAGAATTTTGGGGAATCCGTCGATCCGCGCCATGAATCGCGTGGGAGCAATTCCCTTTTCCTGCGCCGCGGCGGCCAGCGGGGTGCTGCCGCTGATGCCGAGGCTGGCCTGCGCCACGCGGACCATTTGCGGGGAAACGCTGGCCTTCGCCGTGGTGAGAGCGAGGTTTTCCAAGTCTGCGGGGAGAAAGTTGATGCGCATGGCGGAAGTTTCCTCGGTTTCCCGATCCTGCACGGCGAGCAGCACGCTCTGGTACCCCTGGTCGATGAAGCGGGTCACCACGAAGTCTCGGGGCTCCTGCAGCTGCTCGCCAGAGCCCACTTCAGTCACCTGACTCAGCCGAATTGTCATTCCCAGCAGATCCTCCGACTGCCCGTTGGAAAGCGCCTTCGCCACCGCCTCCATGGCTGTCTGCGCGTCGCCTTCGGGCTCGATGTGCCCCCCCTGGACCAGCTGGCTGCTGACGTCTGCCAAGACGCCTCTGACGAGCTGGTTGGTCACGGACTCTCTTTCTTCGGGGGGGTGCACGGGGGGCACTTGCCACTGGGCGGGGGGGGCGGGCAGGCCGGCCTGGGGCTTCACGACGGACTCCCAGGAAAGCTGCTGCTTCGTCTTCGCGAAAGCCGACATCAAATACATGAACAGCACTATGGTCGGCACTGCGAGGCCCCCAACTGCCAAGTAGTTCCACAGGCGGCGCGCGCGCTGCGCCGAAGGCAGCAGCACAGCGCCGCTGGCCGCCGTCGAAGGCTCCTCGTCCAGAAGCTGCATATCCTCCCCTTCAAGTCCCACGGCAGAAACCCCAACCCCCTCGGGCTCCTTCCCGGGCCCCTCGGGCACGCTCCACTGTTCGTAGTAAGGCTCCATGTTGAACTTGCAGGAAAGCTCGGGTTCGGGTCCGCGAGCGGTGAGCGGTCGGTGTACAGAATGAAGCCAAGTGGCGCAGTGCAGCGGCTGCTCGCCAATTCGAAGAAGATCAACTGTCCAGCCGGCTCCGACGCAGCAACTGGAAAGCAAAAACCTGCAGAAAAAGGCCCCTGGGCTCGCGTCTTGGGGAGTTGGCCTGGGACTTCCCCGCTCAAAGCGTCTCGCGCCTCACGAAGGGAAAACGCCACGAGCGGCCTGTGGGCAACTCCCAAACTCCAGTCACTATGTCCTCTTAGACTGTAGAAAAGTAATGGAATTGAGAAATTCGATCAGCTCGACCACGAAGTGGAGCGGCTTCGGTTCGGACGAGTGTCGTTGCCAGTCAAATCGATCGATATGCGAGCAACGGAGCGCTGCCCGACGGTTTAAAAAGGAACAAACGGAATATTTACGTACAAAAAAACAAACAAAGCTGAATTAAAAATGTTACAATCTAAAAGAACAAACTGAACTGACGGAGCTCACTAGATCAGCGACTCTAACGGAAGCCCGCCAGTATGACCCAAGGGCGTTAGCTGCGGTCAATCGCTCAGGCCCTGTCCGAGTTCCTTGCTTTCCAAAGCTTCCTCCTTGCTTTCTGTACAGCTCCCTCATTTTTAACTGCTTTGTTAGCAGATCAGCCATTCAATAAAAGGCCTTAATAAAGTGACTATTTCAAATGCACGGAGCGGCGCTAGCACCGGGAGCTGGCGGATACGAAGCACGTACCAGTTCAGAACGCTAATGAATCCGCACAACAGGAAGCGGGGTGGGGTTTTTTCTGCATTATTTTTACTCGTTGTTGTTTTATTTTTCGCTATTTTGCTTTCCTTCGCGAAATTCTCTAATTATGTGCTCCCAGAAGCACTAAGGACAAAGGCGTGGCATGCGAGCCCAACTACAGGCAGTGCAGTGCTGGTGCAACACGCGTGCTTGCTGTTTCTAATTAATGCATTAACACTTGTTTTTAACAGCATGGATATTATTTTTGAGTTTTACTTGCAGCTTTTGCCGCTGGATCGCCAGCACCTGAGGCGCTCGCCACACTCCCATGGGGGCGCGTTCGTGCGCATGCTACTCCCATTTCCTGAACAAGTCCACGCGAGAAATATATCTATAACTGAGATCATGTCCTTAACACTCAGTGCGAAATCGTGCACTTCTGAAACTGACCATCTGCAGCGGCATCACACTAACTTGTGGCCAACTTTGGCTGAAAACCTGAAATGCAGCGGTGTAGAATGCAAATAGTGCACACGGAGAAGTCAACTTAATACGTCTTGAGACAAAAGTGTGTTAGTTTTATGAGATCAAGCCTGAGTGGATGCTGACGCTGCATCGCTCCCCCACTTTTGCAGAACTTGTGGGCAGCTCACTCTGCAGCTGCGGCCCACCGATTTAAGTACTTTAATGGCCTTTTTTATTTCTTCATAATGTTCTCGTTAAGAGGGGAAAGCTCACTTGATATATTCACGAAAACACACAACAGTTCGCAGCAGCTAGTGAGCTAGGATGCGTGTGCATCATCGAAGCATACTGGACTTTGGCACATGTGCATCGTTTGTGGCCGTTTCAGCGCTTTCCGAAATAATATAAAACCATTTTCTTGCAAGTTTAGCATTTTTATGAACACAATCAGCACTTGAGCGCCAAGTTATGAGCAGATCCTCTCTTTTCCGGGGTATTGAACAGGATCTGAAGTCGCTAAATTCAGCAACACTGGCAAACGGCGCTTTCACTCGCATGAAAGCCCTTTCATTTCGTTCCACAGACCTAATTCAGCAACATCAGGAAAAAGCCCTTTCACTCGCAAGAAAGCCCTTTTTAAAATAAAAATATATAATAAAAATATATATATACTATAAAATATTAATTTCTTTGTGTAGACCCTTCTTAGTCGAGCATCTGCATGCCCGATAGACTGATCTTCACTGCAGCAACCACGGGGGGCAGAAAGAGCGATCTCGCGCTGCCGCATGCAGCAACGGCGGACACATTTGCAATTGAAAGAATAAAAAGACATTTAGAAGATCAAAAGCATTAAATTCAGCCTTTGTCCTCTGCGCATCGGCCGTCGGCAGTGCGGGACTCCACAGCGCGGTATATAGCAAATTCGAAGTAGCATTTGCCTAGATTTCGGAATTCAAAACAGAAAATAAGTCTACAGAACACAAATTGCATTCAAATATCGTTTTTGCAGAACACTGAACATCTTTCTCTGCACCGGCGCCCTGCACCTTCTCTAGCTACCCCGTGAGCGGCGCCTTTTGGCACTTTTATCTCCAATTTCTCAAAATAATTAAGACATGAGTTGCAATACTTTCAAGAATAAATCTAAACAAAGGCTTTAAGCTGCTGCTTTCCCCCTCAGCCGCCAGGATTAGCTGCCCTGGCTACTAGAGGTTTCCCGAGATGCTTAATGGTCTTCGCAAAAGCACTACGAGTTCGTCACTTGAAACAAATGCAGAAAAGAACTTCTTTTCAAAACTTGAAATGTTTATCTTTAATCTCCTTCTAAGCCCTTTAGAACTCCTAGCCATTCATCCACTTTGCACAATTGAAGCAAAGAAGCGCCAGAGTTTGTTTCATCGTTTTTGAATCATCAACTTGAATTGATGAATGAGTGCAGAAATCTGGGGAAACATGAACAAATAATCGCGTTTTAAAGGACTTCATCAACTCCTAGAGTTCAAAACTTGTTTGTAAAGCTGCTTTTGGATTATTTTTCTCCATTTAATTCGAGAAAAAGCCAATTCAAATTGTTTTGTTCATAATTTGTTGCTTGGCACCTTTCAGATTCGACTGGGCTGAGTCCGGTGCTTTCGCATGCACCATTGTGCGCCACTCGGCCAGAATAATGTCTAAATATTTGAGAATTATATAATTAAAACTAAATGCTTTTGAATTGTGAACAAACATAAGTGGGGAAATAGCGAAAAGAGTGCGGATCAAGATGGAAGTGCTGAGAGCATTTTTCATACAAGAACGCACAAGGACCAGCTGCTCCTTCGTTGCGCTGTGCCATCTCTGTCTTTTCTTCGCGAGTTACAGCGGAATAAAAGGGAAATAGAAGTTATAATTATCCCGAGTTTGTGAATGGAGGCCGAGGAAGCGAAAAAATTCGGAGAAGTGGCACAAGAAGGAACATTTCAAATAA